TTATTTTACATGTATCTAACGTAAGTGATTACCCTTAATGTGTTTAACGATAGACACTTTTATTATAAAACCAAAATCATATACGCAGTTATTATAATAAGCGAACAAGTAGGTAACCGTTGTGCTGTACAATAAATGTTGAGGGTACTTCGTAATTAAGTAAATCACTGTAATTAGTGTGTTAAATATTAGTTGTATAAAATATTGATCATTTTTATTTATTTTAAAAATAAACAATAAATTAATTATTTTAAAAATTACCAAGGATTTTCATTGTTGACCTTCCAAAATCAGCATATATACTAAATCCAGTTGGACACCAAAAGTTCTCGTTCTCAAATTGATTACCGGAACATTTTTCTACTGTGAAACATGTACATAGAAGAAAATACAGAAACTAAATTAATTGCATAAATCGCCATAGTGTGATATTTTAAAGGTGGTACTAATTCAAGGTAGAATTTCCATATCATCTCGATGCATAATGCATATATTATTGTTAACCAAAATTAACAGTAGGTACTAACTTAAAATTCTATTCGTTTTCGTGTTAATCGTTTCAACAATACGATTCGCCGAAGAATTATATAATAAGTGCACTCGTGCACACGTGCACGATAGTGCATTACAAACATGGAAAATTTTGTCATGTCAGAAAATTTTGATAAATTCATCAATAGTAGTAGTAATCGAAACACGAGAATATGGTCTGACTTGCATCTCCCCGAATACCTGTGCATTATTGTTTAAGCAATTACAAAAGGATACCTTTGACAATTATTATTATAATGCAATACGTTTATGATTGATATTCGATTTTGAAACATTATTTTTAAATATTAATGCATTGACGTTCTCAAAATGACAATTTAGAAACACAAATAAAAAATCATATACTTAAAAATATATATAGTCATCGTAAAAAAAAAATCTTCGGATAATAAACAAGAAGATATTATAATTCGATAAATTATTTTAAAGTAAAGCAAAATAATTTTTTTTTTTTTTTTTTGAAAAAAATATTATTTTTATAAAATCATAAAAAAGTTATCAACAATTTTTTTTGCAGTTTGAATTATATTACATTTATATTTATTGCAAAGCTAATATGTCAAATTATAGCCTGTAGAGAAAATAAAATGAAATCCCTGATCAATCGTTTATTAATTACAATATTTGTAATATCAAGTAGAAGGTTAATGATACTTTTCAAATATAAAAAATAAACAAGGATACGTAGATGTAGAATGTATAATAAAAAAATATGCATAAAATAGTATTGTTTTAAATTAAAAATCTGGTAAAAAATAGTTATATCAAAAGTTATTGATAATTTTGAAAATATATTTTTTATATAATTTTTAAGTCTTTTAAAACAATTTTTTTCTAAAATATTATTTTTATCGTTATATTTTTTTTTTATTTTAATAATTTTTAATGACAGCATTTAATTTTATTCTCTTGTTTTTAATAAAAATATTTTTCGGTATACACCGATATATACAAATTATTCAAGACACATAGTCTGTTTATGATTTATAAGTATTTAAAGTTTAAATGAACGAAGTGGAGTAGTACAAGGGTACTTCTCAAAATGTAGGTCCATTATAACTTCAAATACTTATAACAATAAATTACTCAACGAAATTTGATTTCTTATAACAAATATGTAATGACTTTTAGTAATATTTTATTTCGGGAAAATATGAAATTAAAAATGTATGTTATCATTGAAAAAGTAAAAATCTATGAAAAAAATGAAACAATGAAAAATAGTGTGATTGTTTTCCGAAAAAAAAAATGTTTTGTGACAACTTGAAATTAATAAAAAAAGAATTATTTTCAAAAATGTTACAGTATTCTGAAGTCATGAGATAATAAATAAAGTATATCAGTACAGTTATTATTAACTAAAATTACAATAATATTAAAGAAAAAGTTTTGTTACGTCAAGTTTACATTACAATAATAATTAAATTTCAAAAATAGAATCTTGTTGTTTGTTTTTATTATAATTTTGTTTGTGTCAATGAAATACAAAAACAACAAATTTCTTTTTAGTTTATTTTTTAGATTAGCAAGATATATTTTAGAGAACAAAATTAGTAAATTTGTGTTTTAGTGGTTAACGAGTATAAACTCTTTTATAGAAAGTTGGGTAAGTTTGTTGACTGTTTGGATTTTCAAGTATTTACATTTCAACATAATATTCTGTTGCAATAATCACACATAGATAGATAGTTGACAATATTTAAACTATGTGAATATACTCGTAGTATAATAATATAGACATAATATTATACTTACCTTTGTTTACGGTAATGTATGTATTGGAATTTCGAGATTTTTAAGATTTTTAAGTGTTTGTATGAACTAACATTTGAATTTCAAAAAGTTTTATTCTGTTGATGTGTAAAGATTCAATTTTAGGTGGCTTATAAAAAAAAGTGGCGGCTTTATAGTTTATGAAGTATTAAAGTTTAATAGTTGAAAATTATGAACCGAACAGTTTCTCACAAGTACCTATCTAAAAAAAATTGAAACGGAAAAAATGACGTTTTATATCAAAGTATATATTTTTTTTTCATCTATATCAGTACTTTTAAATTCAACTTCATGGTAGGTAAACAATATAATTTTTAATCATCATATTCAATAGTTTTTTCAAAGAAAGTATTATTAAAATATAACTTGTAATAAAACTATGAATTGTGTATACTTAGTGCTTATTTGGGTAGAAAAAAGTTTGACTGTCAAATTAGCAGGTCAATATTTTCTAAAACAAAACCAGAATAATTATAATATAGACCTTGGTATTGTTAAATTTTGTTGTAGGTTATGTTTTTTCGTGGCTATTGATATGTGATTCTGATAAATTACAGAATCACATTGTCACCGCACAAGTGTTCGTGGTTATATATATATATATTTATAATTATAATATCCAATACAAATAATTAATTCTTATATAACTACAAACTTTGTTAACACAATATTTATTACGAAAATTCACATTTGAATATTATAGAAAAATAAATATTTATTAGAACAAAATAAACAGTTTCAAAGACTAAATATCGATAAACGTTATTAAAAAAATACATTCATATAAAATGATATTTATATTATCAATATTTTCATAAAATTATAAATATTTAATCGAAATTGATGTAAGTTGATATTAAATGTTATATAACGTCAAGGCATCTGTGTTACCATTATCCATTCCATCTTATAAGTTGAAATTGAATGTTCTATTTTTGTAATTACACAGAATCCGAACCCAAACTGGAAGCTTTATACTATGAAAAAAAAAAATGTTCAGAGATAAAAAATCATTATTGATGTCTAATAAAAAACAAAAAATGGAGTTTTTAGAAACAATAACTACTATTTACATTTTACAATGATATTTATTACAAGAATCTGTTTATAAATATGTTCTATAATAATGCTTAAAATACGCACAAATGTCCATATTTTATAATTTATTTTAATAACCAGTTATAAATTAATATGTAAAATGTATATCTCACATATAGGTATAATTAGAAATATCATAAATTGTAGGTTTGAACTAAGATAATATTTTAAGAAATCAAATGTATTAAATTATTTCCGAACATAACGATATGAAATATTACGATTAACATATTATGGTAGTTATTTTATATAGTTTTACAATAGTAACTTTTTTCGTGTGGATGTGTATTAGTACATATAACTCATACGAGTTGTTTTAGTGAATATTTATGATTTTTAGAAATTTATTTTAATAAATTTTGAAGAATTTTTACAAAACATTTAACAATAATACTTCTTTTTAACGTAGTGATTTTTTAAGTTTATTAATTTTTGAAAACATTAACTTATAATTCTAATTTTAATTAAAAATATATTTTTTTTAATATGCTGTTAAAGTGATGAGTTATTATTATTAAAAAAAAAAAAAAAAATTGAAAATACTTAAGACTTTAGTCGGATAAATTATTATATTATTGTTTTCAAAATCACAAATATAAAATGTAAATATTATTGAAGCTGATTAAGTTAACTACTCTATAAATACATTATAATACTATACTAAAGCATACATTATTTACATAACTGAAGAATAATTAAAATAGAACATAATCAGAGCTACATTATAACTGATTACATTCTGTGGGTATTTGGTTATAGTATACCTACTAGTATTTCGCGAAACGATAACGATCGTTTTATGGAATTTGAGACGTAGGTACTGACCAAAAATTGAATAAATAATGAATTCCAAACTATATGGGTATGACGTAAATACATGAAAGTAAATATTATACATTCACAAGTCTACATAGTGTGCATAATCCGCATTGACCAACATATAAACTCTACTCTCCAATATGGTAAAAAGGTGTTTTTATTTTTTTTTTACCGTGTAGTAAACTTTCCTAAAATCGTTCTGCTACTGAATTACTAATGACACAAAATGTCTCCTCGATAAAATCTGCTACTGAATTACACATATGCAATTTACCCTAAACCCTAAATAAAAGACCATGTGGTATAAGGCTGTTCATATATGTATAAACCAATACCACTAAGAATAGATAGGTCAATTTCGAACGGGAAATAGAAGTTTCATATGCATTTGCCTCAATCAATGTAGCGGAATAAAATAAAATCAAATAAAATCTGTATAGAGAATTATTACTTTGCGTAAAATAAGTTCTATGTATCGCAGAAATTAATAATATTAAAAATCAGTAAATCCCGGGCTCTCCAGTAAAAATACACTTCGATTATGTCACTGTTTGTTTTTTCTTACCGCCGATCGGAAATTACTTATAGTGACTCGTTGTTAAAAATTACGCTCGCATAAAAAAATACAATGTTTTTGATATTTTTACGAGATTCCGATATCGAAATAAAAAAAAAAATAAAAATAAAAATAAAAGTGAATTAAATGTAATAATTATTATTATTTAAAAGAATTAAAAGAATTATTTATTGACTCAAAATATAACCAACACGTGTAGCATTCTTGCCGATCTCGCCGACAAAGTCCTATAACAACTCGCAAAGCTCTCGAATTTATGGCAGATGACATAAAATTAATCCGTAACTAACCGAGTGCCTGTCTACTTCACATATTGTTACCCACCGATAGATGTTTAGACCGTTTTAAACGGTAAATCACGCGCGCGTTGATTTAGGTTTTTACAATTACAACCACTGTTGCATAATAGTAATTTATCATACCGTGCATAATATAAAGGTGCGGAAACGTCGTTGACACATTATTATAATATACGACAACACGGTGCTCGACGTGTCTGTTGATCCATCGGCGGCGTCGCACAAAAAATTTTATATTATTGACTCGATTTCGACTTGCTAAACGACACACGGACACCGTTGATTGTGCAACCCGGGCCACGGTAGTCGGCCATCACTCTGTCCACGGACTCGATCCGGTCGAAGCAGACGCGTGCCGAATGGTACGGAGGACCGGAACCGGATGACCAGTCACATCTGTTGCCGCCGGGCAACACACGCACCCACAGCACTTTGCCGTAACGACTGAACGCCGCGTACAGTTGGTCGGCCGTGACCGACTTGTCCAGGCGGTCTACGTTCAACCGATCTGTCGGACCGACGTCGTCGTCGGCGATGACTTCCGTGCAAGGGTGCTGCGGTTGGCGGTCGACCGTCGACTGCCCCAGGAACTCTTTCACCTTCTCGTGGTAAGCCAAGTACTGTTCGCGGATCGACCACGATTCGTCGGACGAGTTCAAATGCTGGCCCTCCTCGGACGATTCTCGTTCGTCGTCCGTAGATTGCGCCATGGGATACGGTGGCGACGTCACGTCCGACCACAGTTCGAATTCTCGAGCTTGATTTGAAAACAATTTAAAAACATGATAATTAAAACAACAGTTCGCCAGAATGTACGAAAACCGAAAGCCTTTTGTTTTTGCAAACAAAACGCACATCATTGCGAGTGATTCGTATTGTATGCGCAACAACGTTATATTATGTATTCGATTGACTGTATACAGAGATATTATGCATAATTGATACGAGACGAAAATTAATTGGTTTTTTTTTTTCGTTGACATTTTCAAATGTTAAGTCACGGTTTGCATAATGCTATAGAGGGCTAAAGTAAAGGTGTACAATGTGAAACAGACCCCATATTTCTGACCGCACTAACACAACGAAAACTTTAAAAATTATTTCAAAAGATACAATGAAGTTTTTTAAAATATTTTCTTGAAAGTTGAATAAAAATAATGCTCTCTGTTAGAAAAAAACAACTATTTGTTTGCAAAACATTATTACTTTTCGGCTTATAAAGCTTTATTTTATTATTTTAGTTTTTTTTTCAAATGATACAATTATTACTATATTGAACTAAGTAGCTAATATTTGGGTAGTATAATTTCTAGTACCGTTTTATTATTCTATATTATGTTTGATTATATTTAATATATATATATATAGTATATATTTTATTTTATTTTAAAATAAACTTAATTTTTTCAATACGCTTTATTTTTTTAACTTTTTTATAGGTTTTTAGAAAACTAATATGTGTAATAAACATAATAAGATTTAAAAAAATTATCATAAGTGTGTGAGTTTTAATATAAAAACATAGTTTTATTAAATTCTGATTTCTTAATTCTAATTAAAATAAGTCTATAACAACCTAAATAAAATATAATTTATTCATTTTTAAACATTTTAAAAATCTTTACAAACCATCGGTTGCAACAACTTATTTTTTTTTTTTATAGTTTTAATTAAGTAACTTTAAATCCTGATAGTTATAGTTTACATATTTAATGTTTTAAAATACACAGTTGTTTTTTTTTTTTGTTTTATTATTATTTTTTTTTTTTTTAAAGGAAAAAATGAAATTTAAAATATTGTATTATAACTCAATTATTCACACATGACGTTTGTGTTAAAACTTAATAAAAATAAATAATACAGAATGAATATAATATAGTTATTTTTATTTTTTATTTATAATATATCTAATCTTCATTATATTAAAATGGAGATCTCAATTAATGTAAAAAATAACCATAAATGTAATATCCTACCTTCTGCATTCAATTTTTTTGTATAGCCTCCATATGTATTCTGTACAAAATTTCCTCCTGTTGTTTCGTAATCTTTTTCTACACGTTCAGAATCAGAAAAACCTGTAAAATCAACATTTTTTTTTTAAAACAATGACTATTACTTAATTTGTGATCCTAATGTATAAATTGATTGATTATAAAATTTAATTTTTACTAAATACAAAACATTATATTTAAAATAATTTATATATAATAATATATATATTATTTGTCCTAGACTCGAATGGTGTTTTTAGTTTATTTTTTTTTTTATCTCAATGAGTTTTTATGAGGCGAAGCACATATACATTTTATTTTCATTTGTATAAATCGAATATTTATTTGTTTATCAAAAAGTTTGTTTTTATGTTGAAGTAACTTAAAATTATTGTATGCTTTTAATTCCTATTTATATAATTTAACTTATATTTATTTAAATTGTTTATTATATTATAGTTTAACATACCTATTATTTTGACATTATAAAATGCCAAAAAGAAAATGCAATATTTGCCATTATAAAAGAGAGAGGTTAAGAAATTCATGGTAAAATTGAACGTAAAACTAGTTCCAACAAAAAAATTCGTAATTCTGATGAACAAATTGTTGTCAGTAAGAATGTTTAATTAGTAAATACATTACATCAAATATATATACTTAAATTATGACATAGATATGCGTTTATATTAAAAAAAAAAAAAAAATAAAAAAATAACTCATTTCAAATGAAATAATAAGAAAGATACATAATAATTTATTTTTCTTATAAAAAAATTAAATATCTACTAAATAATGAAAATAACACTTTGTAGATTCATTATTTATTTTAATCGAAATTCTCAACTGAACAATTATTTAGTGATAAAATGATAAATTACAACATTGCTAATTATTATTTATGACATTAAATATTCTACACAGGTGTTTATATTTTTAGTAAAATATTTTAATCAACGTGAAACGTGTTTCAATATTGCTTTGTATTTGACTAAAAATATAGATAATCCTAAACTAAATAATAATTGTTTTTTTAATTAGTATAAATTGATTATTTTATAATATATGGCATGACCTTATACCCTTCTAAACGAAATTTGAGTTTGTTATTTAACTAAAAAGTTACATTTATAAAAGAAAAAAATATATGACAATTAAATGTGGAATAATACAAATGTACTATGTTATTTAAAATAAATTGTATATATATTTGTATAATCAATTATTTAATAATTTTAAATAACTTATCTATGCATATGTTAAAATACTAAAAATAAAACATATGAAAACGCCACATATCAGCTCTATAAGAAAATAACAATACGAGTGTACAAATAGAATAAGTTCAAAAATAGATAAAAAATATTTTATATATTTAAAAATAATAAAAAATAAAACCTTACATTAAAATATGAATGTATGGTATAATATGTTTAATACATGTTGAAAAAATGGTGAAACTGTGTAGCATAGTGTTTGAACGCAGTCATTGAAGAGTGCTGCGGTTAAGTACCACCCGGCTTTGTGATAACTCTAGGATGGGTGACTACCCAGATTTTTAACGACGAAGTCATATCCTACATATGAGAACATGTGTCCAATATCTATTGTACTTGACTTTATCTTAACAAAAAACCCACAGCTAATAGCCATAGTTTTCGAGCCTTAATTATAAAAAAAAAAAAATCGTTTTCAATTTGTACATTTCTATATTCTAAGAACATTGTTGATTTCAATTAAATCAATTATGAATAGAATAGTTTTTGATTTGATAGTCAACCAATATGTATTGTTTTTGACCACCAATAATAAATTAGGTATTCAAGATAAATTTAAATCATATTTTAGTCATTATATATTCGTCATATGTATTATATACAAACGTGACCTATTCAAGTTTTCGATTAGAACCTTCAAACTTTCAAATTAGCTTTCTCGGTCCGAACAATTAAACTTAACGAAGGTTTCAAAATCAGCCTTGTCCAATTACAGTTGAGAAGTTTGATTTTCTAGATGTTTTTAAAGTTTTGATTGTAGGTAAATTGTTGTCAAAAGGTATCAACATATTTTTGAATATAAATATTTAACAGCATAGTTTGGTAATATTTAGATCTTGTATAATATTAGTAGATACTACAACTTGGATATAATTCTTCATAAAATAAAAATATATCTCAGTAATATACATACTTGTAAATTAGAATTATTTAACTTTGAAAAATAATATTCCTAATAGTAAAATTTTAAGAAACCTAATACATTTTGTCTTACACAACCATGAATACAATTTTCATAAATTTAAAAAAAAGAATAGTGTAGCATTCGTCATTGATATACATGATATTAACTGTATCGACTGTTTTAATCAATATTTGTTACTTTATAAAAATTTCAAATAACAAATATTGTAATAAAAAATATATAACATGTATATATTGATTATTTTGTTTTTACTTAATCTAAACTATCATTGTAGTTAGATAAACGCGGTTGCTGATATAATATGAGTAAGTATAGAACTATATCATATTTGAATTTACAAATATTATAAGAGAATACTGTAACAAAATGTATTAAATAAAAATAACAAAAAATAATACAATACTATTTTCATAATAATGAGTCGTTATACACGTGGTATGTGTTACTTACATTGAATAATCTCACATCTATATATCATATCTAATATAATTTAGTTTCTATTCAATGGAAAATAACAAAAATTACTCAACGATTAAGAAATAATTGCATCCAAATGAATTATCTTATGTACATTCAATAAATTAAATAAGTAACAAAGACAACTGATATTATGAGTTATTTATAATTTAGACGGAAAATTCTTCATAAAATTAATGAAAAACATGAAAATTCTAAAATAAATTCCATTATATTTATTCAGTTATAAAAAAATTGTTATGTAAAAATGTGAAAATTTCTCAAAATATTTGTATTTTTAATAAAATAATTTTTCGTTTAAAATACATAATATTATAATTAATATATTATTGCTATAATTTAAGTTTGTTTGAAAGAACGTAGTAATAGGAGCTTATAATAAAATAATTAATATATATTAATAAATACTATTCAAATAGATAATAAATTACCTATATATAAATTATCTAGCTATGATGTTAAAAAAAAAATAAGAAACATCACAAGAGTATAAATAATAACATATTCTTTTTTGAAAAGTACTACGATACTCTTTATCATCTATGAATGCATAATTTAAAAATATTTATCTATGGATATATTTTTTTAACAGCTATTTTCAATAACGGTTTAATTTTCATTCACTATCACCGTATTACTAGATATTATTATTATTAGTTATAACAAATTACCATTACTCTAAGGAGTTCATACCTATAGATTTATACATAGTATTTCGCCACATGTTTATTATAATAACTGCGTTTATATAGATTGCTTAACCGAACATAATGCCAATAACGGCCGAGCGCCGTAAAAACAATAATAATAAAATTAAGCCGACAATGATCCTAATACTAAAAATAGTAATAAAAATAATATGAGGTGTATTTCTGTTATAGGTATGAGTATCCTGTAGCCTGACTACTTAGTTTCTAATAAGTAATAACTATTGAAAAAAACTGTTTTGGAGATATTATTGGATAAAAAAATACATTTTCTGATAACAAAGTTGTTGATATCAACAAACAAAAATAAGTTACGTTAACTGCTGTTTCATTTTAGTGACATATCAAACAGTTACTTAAAATTAAATGGTTTGCTGTAAACTTAATCCAATTTTTAATCGTTAATGTGATTTGCGGTCAGAGTATATTAATTTATCCATATGTAAGTAAATATTGTGGTCTAAATATTTTTTGGGATATTTTTACTAAATCGATATTTCTTTCACATTTTTTAGACTTAGGACAGACAATAATTCTATTAATGATGGTATAGTTAGAAATATTGATTTTATTGTTAAAAAAAGTAATTTTGTAATTTTGAAATATAGTGTTCAAGTTATTGGTAAAAATGCGTGGATGATTTTCGCACAAAATCTAAACGACCAATTTTTTTATTTTTTTTTTTTTTTTATAACCCATTGATATTTACTTGTACAATTTACGTTTTATTTTTTATCGTTAATCTTTAAATAGTTTTACTGACTAGAAATAACAAAAACGTCCTGGGACCGCAATTTACGTAGACGGTTTTAACGACTGTGACCTTTTTAAAAAGACCATTTACCGACTCTGAATTAAACATTTCACTATCCGAGCAGCATAAACGTTAAACCGAATTGCCGTCAGTCAGATCTGTCGCCAAAACACGCCCACCACCATACTACACAATATGGTCATAACAGCAGAGTATTACCTAGGGGATGGCAATCCGACGCGATATCATTACCCCTGTGATCGTCGTCCGGCTGCCGATGACGGCGCTGCAGTTGGTGGTGCTGCTGCTGCAGCAGTGGTCGGACCGTGGTCGCCATCGTCTTGACGACAGTGATGGTGATCTCAAACCGATCGCGCAGACACCGGACACGGAACATCTGGACGAACGGAAGCGGCGCCAGAGACCGACGCTTTGGATCCGTCAACTCGGCGTGCACGAACACCGCCAAGTGTGGGCCGCCGTCGTCGTCGTCGTCTTCGTAGTCGTAGTCGTAGGCGTCGTCGCGGCCAAAGTTTATTTCCACCCGTCTACCACCGTCTTCCCCGTCGGTTTGCGCGTCCACGGACACGAGTTCCGCGAAACGGCGGCCGCCGCTGTACGTGCCCAAAAATCGGCGCACCTCCCGGACAACGCCTGCCCGGCCGACCGCCGGCCGTCCGTTCAGCGAGTCCATCGAGTAGTATCGCGAACGTTCGGTGAACATGTCGGCCACGGACTCGGCGGACACGTTCAGCCGGCCGTAGTAGTCGGCGGCGAACGTGCTGCCCGCACTTTGCGCGGTCACGTAATCCGACGGCAGGGGGAACATGACCGCGGTATTGGTATAATATTACCGTGACGATGGCGGTAATTACGATGCGATACGATGCAATGCGATTGGTGATAACGACGCACGTAGGGTCTTACGATGTTGCAGTTTGTAGGCTCCCAAACGGTAACGTGGTCGCTACGCGAAGAGGTGTATTTGACTGAAATTGACAGATCGCTAGACGCTGCGGTGTGACGTGCTGATCTTTGCCACGGATATGATACGATTAATAATTTATTACTATTGTTATTATTATTATTATTACGTGCAATCGCCGGTCATCGTACCGTTGTAATATCAAAATAAAATGATCAAGGGTTGCCAACTGATGAGAATTAATTATAGTGGTGACCGATGAAATACGACGCGACGTCTTGGAATTCAACGGTTAAATCGAATCCAATCTATAAGCAGTTCTTTATGCTACAATTATTTAACCGGCATATGACGTCGTGTACTTTAATAATTATAATATAAATATTAACAAATACCACTTACAGCTGAATATAGAGTGATTAATGACATTTGACTGTAATATTACAATATCATGATAACTATAGTTTAAGACGTTCGAAGTAATCTGATAGAAAAAAATCGAAATTCGAAAAATTAGTTTGAATTATAACGATAAAAAAATAAATAAATAAATAAATAAATAAATTGTTGTTTTATTTCGAACGGAAAATTACCTAAAAATATATATTCCAATGTCTACAAATATATTCCTAAAAGTAATATGAGTTTTAATTTATGGTACCTAGTCTAAATAGATAACACATTCATATTAAATATGGCGTAACTCATCGACTCGAATTTATTAATAACTCAAGAACTTTATAGACAATGCTAACTTTTAATATTGTATATTTGAATATTGAAATATTTGTGAGACGTGTCGTCTTTATTATACTATTGATGTTGGTGCACAAATTTACTCCTGTCAACAGTGAATATAGTAGCACATATATATGTAAGTATAACGATCGCATCCAGATATATTTAGACGAATGATGATAACACAATAACATTGTTAGCGTAAAATAAACAACCACCGTTTCAAATGTTTCGGTTAATCCAGCTTTCAAGATGTTAGTATGTAACAAAAACTAGAGCTTAATGTATTTATGTATTATTGTTCTCATTTAGGTTGATATGTAAAAGTTATTTCTTTATAACATAAAAGGTTAGGTGTTATACCTATAGCATATATAACACACAATAATTTTCTTGCTGCAGAATTGCAACATTAATGAACTTGTCGCAACGTCGAGTTCAAGTAGGTGGAAATTAATTTTTGAGTAGCTACCTACCTCCTATATGTAAACCTACTGCACAATGTGTAAGTAAATAGGCGTTGAAATATGTTGAAGAGTACACCTTACACGTGCACTTAATAAACCATAGGCTAAGATAAAAGATCAATATTTTTTAGATATAAAAAATAATATATACAGTTAATAATGTTGTTAAAATACGGTTTATTATATTCAATTATTATTAAAGTATTATGTGTATTAATATTGATTGTTACTTCAAAAAATAAAATGTGTACCAATATTATTATTATTTAGTTATCGTATATTTTATTTTATTATAATTTTTATAACTACCTATGCAAAATAAACAAACAATAAAATAATTTGTAGGTACTAAGATAATTTCAACCAGTTTAATTCAATTATTGGCATAAAAAAAAATATAATTATTTAAAAATAAGAATAATATATTTTATTATTTACGTATACTATTATAATGTAATTGAATACATAATATTAATTTATTAATTATTAATGTAATTTAATTTATTGTGGACTATCAATGATTTGGCTATAAACCTTAATTACTACATACGTAAATATAATCCTATATATATATATATATAATATTATTGTATTATTCAGTTCAAAGAGATTTCAAGTTGTTTCAGATTTTTATGACACAAGTGTATCGGTAAAAATATTTAGTGTCACGCACCCCGAATAATCCTACTTTTCCTGCTAGCCACCATTATACACGTTTTTATACATTCTACACATTACAGAAGGACTATAACTACCAATTGGTAATGAAACAATAAACATTCTTGGAATTAACTTTTACCAATTATACATACTTACAATACAGCTAAATAATAAAATATTATCTACTAATGATTTGTTATAATTATACATATTTGTTTAAACATAATGTGTAAATAGCTAGGCGAAAAAAATCGTAAATTATTTTAAATTCCTTAGAAAGTAATTTTGTTATTATTTACACTTCATCAACCTAAGACTCTTACCCTTTTATAAAAAATATATAAAATATATCTTTACCAACTATTATTAAAAGTTTTAGAGTTATTCTAGAATCTCAATCAAAATATTCAACTTGAAACTCAGAATTTAAGATTCAAACAGTTATGTAAAATAAATTGCCATATATTATGGCAATATTAACTAAAATAATATACAAATAAAAATATTATTCAAAAATCAAAATTTAAATAACACTAAAACTATAACAAATACTTTTTAAATGTTATATATAAAATAATTATACATTAATACAAAATATATACGATGCATTTAAATATAAAATAAATACGTTTGTGTTAAATGTGTTTATAGATTTAATCTATTACTATTTACTATTGAGTAGTCATAAATAGTGTCTATATTCTAACTTAATCCATACTAAGTACTTACTATTGATTATTGTTTTTAAGCTATAAGTATTAACATAGTATACAAAAATACTTGCATTTTAATTACACAAATCGATAAAAGGTATCTGAAAAAAATAAAAATTTCCCAAGAAGTTCAACTAATCATGATACCCGAATTTAAAAAAAATATAATATATTTTTGTGTTTTGTTATTCTGTACTTATTAAAAATTATTCATTTTAAATATTATGTAATTATAATTAATTACGCACATAGTATAAAAAATTAATCATTTTACTGAAATGTTAATTAGGTACTTGAAACAAATGCGTGTTGCACAATATTATGAAAAGTATTACAGCTTATAATATGTACAATGTTTAAATGTTATGTAAATTATGTGTAGTATATTATAAACATAGTACATTTATATTCTATTTATTTTATAGGTTGCTTGTTTTTATTACAGCATATTATAGCAATGATTATTGTCGTACAAATGTGGACTATTACTTAGGAAAGGGTTTTTCAATGAAACAAGGTGCAAAGTATAAGACATTTCGTAGGCAACAGCTGCACATATTATTTAATAAATATTCACGCTCTACTAATAACAGTACATTTTATAAACACATATGTAAAACATAAAGAACTATCTGTATGAGGTGTTTTATTGGCCAGTTTAAGTTTACTAGTACAATAATTCCTATATTTGATTTATACCCAAGAATGTCTTGGTTTCGCCATTAAGAAGTCGGAAATGCGAACAAACTTTGGTTGTGGTACCATTTATCTCGAGATTAAATTAATTGCTTCATTTCTAATACAAAATAATCCATCAAAGTGCATTATTAATACTATAATAGTTTGTTCAGCATATTGTATAATTACTAACTTTACACCGTCAAATATTAATTAAAAACGATAAATCAAACTTTCACATATGGAAGTATGTATTTTGTATTATTGAATATGTAAATTTAAAACCATGATTGTAATTTTAAACTTATACAATTCCACATTATGTTTGGGTTTAAATTAGCTAAATAATAAATTATAATAAAATATATCATGGCATATCTTCTAGATACAGTTAATAAAGAAATGATACCTGTGTTAAATATAATTCAGCAAGTCTATATTATATGTTAAAACGTATATAGTTTTCTTGATAAAAAACTTAAAAACGCAATCATGTTATGTCTACTCAAAATTTCACTGTTGCGTTATAATAACTTATTTTCGAGGATTTAGGAAATTTAAATTTTTTATTACTATACTAAATATTAATTTAAAAAGTAATTGTTAAGTTCTTTGAGTTACAAAATAACTTAAGAGCTTGAGACTATAGTAACAAAAAATATGTTAGAATAAAAGTTCAAACTTAAGTGTTTTTTAGAAAAAAATTGAGTTTTTGTATAAAATATACACAACGATTAAGGTTTTGTAAACATTGGGGCATTATGAAGTAATTGTTAAACACTACTAAAAAAAAAAAAAAAAACATGAATATTTTTTACTTCCAATTCTTAAGATTTCTTTTCAACATACAGGTACTTATAGTATCTATAATTTAGATAATAATTTTATTATTATAAAATATTGGTTTAAAAATTTTCAGTTTTTGATTTTTTTTTCTCTAATATTCTGCTATACAAATGTCTATATAAATTATGAACAATAATTCGTCGTTATTCAATATTAATATATTCAATTTGGTATTTTATATCTTATACACAAAAAATTGTATTGGAAATTAAACTAGGAATTAATTAATTAATTAATTTTTGTAAGTAACTCATAGTATGTAATATAATGATATAGTTGTCAACGATAATGTACGTCATGACATCAATCGTAAAGTTAAATTGTTATGAGCAGTTTCACTATTAATTTTTATTTTATGTTAAACAACTGAGCTCAAAGATGCGAACTATTATTCTAACCCGATAATTTAATATGTTAATATTATTCTTAAGGAATATGAATACGATAATGCAAGGTATTTCTTGATCCGCTGTGTAGGTACAAGTAAATAAGAATAAACGAAATGTCAAGTGCGTCGGTAGTTATATTGATATTTCCGATTATCCGTATCTTAATTCTTATACTCGCGAGTAGTGTTTGTATCTTTTAAATTTTAATTAGCGGCGTTACGTAGTTTTTTGTGTACATATTGTAAGCAATTACAAAAAACGAAATAGTGTTATTATAATAACGTAATGACATGACAATAAAAAGTAATTTAAAATAGTTATACTCAGTGGATAAACGTCAAATTACGTAATGCACAACATTTTATGTGTAATACACATTGTGTATGAATATATGAGTGTAGATTTTGTCGGGA